TCTTGTAAAATAAAAAAAGAAATTTTAAAATACTACAAAAAATTATATTATATTATTTAATTAAGTTATCTTGTAATCAGATTTTATTTTGTAATTGGGTAGTTCGGGCGATTTGAAGGTAAAATTACAAACCAAACCAATTATATCGGTTTTAAAATTTTATAATTTAAACTAATCTAATTTTATATTGATTTGGATTGGTTTTGGATTGGATTGGATTAGTTTAAGTTGGATCAATCGGATTAGATTGAATATGAACACTTCTAAGGTGAAGTATCATGTGATTAGAGACCTCAGCAAGGATAATGAAGTCAGACTTGAATATTGCCAATAAGAGGATCAAGCAGCAGGCGTTATAACCAAAGCAGACATTTGAAGAACTTAGAAAAATGCTTGGGGTCACAAATGAAAATGCCAAGGAGGAAGTAATGCTCAAAGGTAGAATAGCATTTGCAATGTAACTCAAAATCAGTTTTTGGTTGTAATTTTTTATTACAATAGTTCTTTCTCTAGATATTTTGTATATGCATGGTGTTTGATGGATTAGGGGGAGTCGTTAGAACAAACATCACTCAATGTACTATTGTTAGCACTACATTGCCTTTAATTTGTAATCTCTAAATACAATCTGTCATGAATGAAATACATGAGAGAAAAACCAGAAACCGAGCTCCTAACAGCGAGCCAGTCTTCATCTACATTTCTTCCCTCCCCCCCCCTCCCCTTTTTTTTTTGTCCAAAATACCAGCAACCACATCAATAGATCTCAACACCCCTTGTTACCCACAGATAAGAATACCTTTAATGATAAATGAAAACATGTGGAACGTAATAAAGAAGCTTTCTAGAAGCTCGAAATAAGTGGTATGTTAACATCTTCTGGAAGCCAATTTGGGACTTTGTAAAAACGCAGTTCTAAATGGCACAGTCAGGGGCGGAGGCAGAAATTTTTTTCAGGGGGGCAAAATATTAAAATTTTCAAAGTTTAAGGGAGGTTAAATAATTTTTCATATACTAATTTACAAGATTTTCAAATTTCAAGGGAGACGAGCACCCCCTCGCACCCCCCTGCCTCCGCCACTCCCGCACAGTTACATAAAGCAAAATGTAAATAATTTATAAAGAAGCTGAACCTACAGCATTATCCATTTTCTTAAACTTGGTAACTGCTCTCAGTGTAAGATCGGTTAATAAGACAGATTTAAATCAACATAAAACACTAATAATCTTGAGAAACATGCAAGAAGAACAATAATACATAGGTTTCTATTAAGCAGCATGTCATATGGAATTAATTAAAGTGAGGTCGTCATACATTAAGATGAAACAATTAACATCAAAGATATATGAAGATTGCATTTGAAAATCAATTAAGAAACTTCTCAGCAACTCAATGAAATTGAGTTGGACATGAACAATATTCATAAACAGTAATCTTACTGCAGTGTTCCATGATAATTGGCTAATTGCCCCCGAAAGTTCCTTTTTTTTGGCCGAAGCACCTGAAAGTTCGTTTAAAGTTGAAAAATGAAGACTTTTAGAAAGTCGTGACTCATCAGAGCATATATATTGGGAAAAATTAAAAAATTTACTTAGTATCATATCATAAAAAATATATTATTTTATATAAATTACAATTATATATATTTTTATATATTTAACTCTCCCTAAAGCAATGCTAAACGCACTCGCTTTTGCACACTTGGGTCTAATGGCCCGATAACTTTAAACCTATTTGAAAAGTGCATCTCCCAACTCTTAGGCTGGGGTTTGAACCCCCATACCTACAATGTACACTGTTTAACAAAAAAAAAAAATGTATTTGCTCTTGCACTTAAGTCTTTGGGTCTAGCAACAATAAAGTTAAAGTGCGTTGCCCCTTCTTGAGGCAACGTTTTGAATCTAATCGTTGTAAACATGTTCAAAAAAAGAAAAAGCACTCGATTTTACCCGCTTTCCCCTCTATTTTACCACGTCACTTATGGATTTTCTATAAATTTTGGAACACATTTCAGTTTCAGAATAATAGAGACTAGAGGAGGCGGTGAAAAAGAATATTTTGTTGGTGGAGCTGCCACAAGTGATAAATTTCCAATTTTCAAAACATTGATTTTAGCCCTAACAGACTTCAATCCTTGGAGAAAATTTATAATTAATAAATCTATAGATATATAAAAATGCAATAACTACAGTGGATGAAACTTGAAGTCATAAATGAAAAGAAGATTGAAACAGATGGGTAGGTAAAAACTTAATTTGAGCCCCTCATCTTACTAAATTTGAAGGTTTTAGCCATTTACCTTATATTATGACACTTTTAACCCCTCATCTTGTTAGATTTATAAGTTTTAGTTTCTCACCTATTAAAATAAAAAATAACCCTTACATTATATTGATTGTTAATTTCGTTAGCTGAAAGTAGATTTTTATTAACTAACAGTCAACTAATAAAATTAATGAAATATTATAAAATTAGTTCTATTAATTCTGTTAATTAAAAGAAGGTTTTTGACAATTAACAGTCAGGTAATAGAATTAACAAAATATTACAAAGTGAAGGTTATTTTCTTCAATTTTAATAGGTGAGGGGTTAAAAGTGTTATAAAATAAGGTGAGAGACTAAAAGTGTCATAATATAATGTGAAGGATTAAAACTTACAAATTTAGTAAAATAAAAAGTTAAAAATATCATATGAGGGGCTAAAACTTTCAAATTTGACAAGTTGAAAGGCTAAAAGTAGACTTTTACCCACATGGGTAATTTACAAATAATATCCATTTAAAGCACAGGTTGAGGAAAATGGTGTTCACGTCTTGATGAAGCTTGAATGCATTTGCGATGTTACTTGTAAATTGGTTCCCATTAAACCCAACCGTTTTAAACAATGTCTTAAGACAAGCTGGCAATGACCCGGTGAAATTGTTCTCATTTACGGTGATATATAGTGATATCTCGAAGGAGGAGGCCATTGCACAAATTCAGGTGTAAGTTCTCCAAAGAAGCTATTGTCTACAAAGCTCACATGTGGCAAAAAGGGATTGTATTTCCCAAAATCTTTGGGGACGCTTTCCAAGAAAATAAACATAGTTCCAACAAGAAAGAAAAACAAAGCAATGGGATTTGGCTCGAGTTTTAGTTTCCCTCCCCCTCTATTAAAAAAAGGCAATTTAAAGAAAAAAATGAGCAACTCTCCCTCCCTCTCCTCCTCTTTCCCTTCAAATCCCCTAATCCAAACACAATGTTTGAATTGCCCTTTTTTAATGAAAGGAAAGGAAGATTGAAATGACGTAGGTTGGCACCTGATGCTCTATTTTTCCTTCTTGATGGGCTATGTTTATTTATTTATTTTTTTGTTACTTTTGTGTTGGTTGTTAGGAAAAGGAACATAGATGATGTAACTAACAGTGTGTTTGAATTAGGGAATTTGAAAGAAAAGGAGAGAATAGGGAGGGGAAGGTGCCTCATTTTCTTATTTGGATTGCCTTTTTTAATGAAGGGGGAAGGAAATTGAAATGACCTATGGGCCAAAACCCATTGCATTGTTTTTCTTTCTTGATGGAACT